TTGGAGACAAAGGAGCCACCGAACCGCACGACTAGAGTCTGCACTCCGTTAATACAGGAACAGAAGAAAACAACGTGAACTCTCTCCTGAAGCCCTCTTGTCGTGGTTTATAGACCTTCACTATTGTTGGCATTTAGGGCCTTAACATGTTGCCATAGGCAAGAATTCAACAGGAGAGAGGCAGGAAAGTGCGTGGAGGGAAGTATAGTGAGATGAGAGGGGAGTATAGTGAGATGAGAGGGGAGTATAGTGAGATGAGAGGGGAGATGTAGGGGAGTGCATGGAGGGGAGTAGAGTGAGATGAGAGGGGAGATGTAGGGGAGTGCGGGGAGGGGAGTAGAGTGAGATGAGAGGGAGTAAGCAACATTGGAATGTTAATGTTTATTTTTTTTGTGTTAATAACCCCCCCCCCCCCCCACCTGTATAGTATTAATCAACATCACAGTCAGGTTCTCAAATAAAAGACAGAATCGCGCTCATTGTTGCTATCGTTGGAGGCAGGTGGAGGCAATTTAAAGGGCGTTCAACATTCACGTGGCACTTTGGGAAAGGAATTTCCATACATTGAACTGGGAATTATACACCGCAGAAATTTAAAATTAAGTTAGTGTTTGCTCGTTGTTCCGTCAATTAAAGATATTTCCCATTAGTTAAACCACGAGAGTTATTTTTCATTCTACCTCTGTTAATTAAATATCCCGCGGGACTGCGTGCCTGGCATTCTAAACCACACTACAGTATTCCAATATATATGTACACACGAATGCAATATTGAATTAAGCTACACTAAACTCGCCCATGATGTCTCCATTATGAATAGTATCACTGAAAATCCTTAACATACATCTCATTTTAAAAGCAATACTGTGCTATGATGAAACACAACTCTACATGAATGTCAGAATCCAAGGGCAGCTGAATCTAATATTGATATACTCTGTATGCGCGTAGTTATGTGTTCAAGCACAATAAACAAAAAAACATAGCATAGAAGCGAAGTAGGACCATTACCGGATATGTTACCTGTTATATATTCTTTCTTTTCGAGGAATTGTTATTGACACACGTGTTTAACTCTTATTCTTGGTTCTTTCGGTAAAGCCACGTAGAAGGGAAACAATAAAATAATAAACTGCAACACAAGCAATCATCTTCAGGTGTGAAAACCACAACAAGAAAATTTGAAAAAAGTGGCGTTTTTTTTTACGTTAGCACCACGGAGAGCGATTTGGCAGTTATTCAGATGGACGAGTCCATCTTGCTGTGATTTTCACACCTGATGATGATTGCTTGTGTTGCAGTCGAAACGTCGTGAGAATTTTGTTCTATATTTTTATTATTTTATTGTTTCCCTTCTAAGTGACTTTACCGAAAGAACCAACAATATGAATCCCTGCAGTCACGAAAGCTTTAAATCAAAATTTGAGTCCAATCTTGTTGGATTACAAATTCCTCTACTCTGCTTGCAAGGTTCAGGAATTTTAAACATTTGAAAAGCTCTTTGATCCCATTAAAAAAAATATTGAGTGGCTTTCTAATCCGATAAAATTGATAATTGGGCCCAGGAAAGTGGAAATAAATGGATAATACAAATTCTGGTTGACCTCAATGGAACAGGGATACCCATAACGCAATCTGGAAACAACATTTTATAATTATACTTTTAATACAAAAAAGTGTATTTGGTCAAGCTCTTTGTGTTCATTGAAGGGGTTGTCTGTTACTCAGCTGCTACTTTTTGGCAACTATTCACATGACAATTTAAAAACAGTTCATCAGAAAACATTCGTCCGTTTTAAGTAGTATAATCTCCCGTGGCGCAAAGTGCTGTCCCCAACGATTTTCCCCACTCCACCTCTTTGGCTTCTCTACTGCAGAAGGGCCATTGCCCAAAACTTCAGTGAGTAGAGAGTTGATGTGTTTTTTTTTCCTTTTGACAAATGTGTTTAGAGGATGCCTCGGAAAACCAGGTGTTGTAGACTTGCGCTGTGACGTAGCCGGCAGTCGAGGCTAACAACAGAATGGCAACCAGAGCAGAGATGGAGCGATGCATGCAATCAGCTCGTGTACTGCGGGTGCTGGATGGATCGTAACATTCGCAAGACCGTCAAGATTCAGCTGGGGGCTTGTTGGATGGGCCTTCTTCCACCAGTAGATAGATGGTGTGTGATGATGATGATAATGACGCTGCCGATGATGATTATGTGAGCGCCATGAAGCCCTGCTTGGGGTTCTCCACTCTAAGTCGCTGTCCGTGGTGCTGATTGCAGTCGGAACTTGCAATTCGGAGCACAGCGTATCCCCAACTCGCCTGGTGGGGGCATTCGAGTCGCGATTGTATCATCATCCGCACCACAAGATGGAGCTTTAATGCCGAACACAAGCCCCGTGCACACACCCGGCGTTCCGTCCCCTCCGCAGCTGCAAGCAAAATCATTTTTGCACGGATTACGCGAGACACGGCCACGAGCAAACGCGCTTAATGCAGCAGCAGTAGGGGCTGTTTATGTGTATGCGCGTGTGTGGAACGCGGTAGCGCAGTGATTAGAAGACTGCGCTACGAACCCGGAGACCCGAGTTCTTTTTTTCCGCTCACGGCCAATAATAGTGGCAGATATTTGAACCGATACTGGCGTTCCGTCTCCCCCCCCCCCCCCCCCACCTCGGGTCAACTCAGCCTTAAATTAGTACCTTGTGCGGTGTGTAAACTGAAGTACTGGGGAGATAAAGGCGGCCGTGCGTGAGTGTTGCCCATCCACTCCCTCGAGTGCCGTGCCAACTTTCATAGGTGCTCGCTTACAGCACTTGTCCCATCAGTCTGTGAAAGGCTAGACTGGGGGGGCGTATTTGTCTGTACTGTATATATATAGAAGACATACGTTTGGCAAGGATGCGCAATTGTGCATGTGAGTGTAGGTGCAGCAATGTAGCAGGCGGCAGGGTTTTTATTCGTATTTTTGTTTTTACCTTCAGCAGCAAAGCACTGCTTAATGTTTTGCATATTCAATGGTAACGTTGAAAACAAGCGTGTGTGAACCTCGCAGCTAAGGTCAGTTGAAGGCGACTGCATGTACACAATCCCGCATGCATAGCGATTAATTAGTCACCGTGGCTGGAGCGGTGGCGTGGTGGTTAGCGCGCTGCACTCGGCGTGACACCCAGGGAACTCTGGCCCATCAGTGGCTAACTTCAGCGGCGAGCGATATCATAACAGGTGCTCGCCAACCCGCAATGACATCGTGCGGTGAAGTATGGCAAACGACTGGCGCCTGACGAATGCGCTTGAGTTACAGCGCTACGCTTTTACGCGGTAGATCGCAGAGCGCGGGTTGTCGTACCGTGCGAGGAATTATCGCTCAGCATCGATTCGGCTGGCTTACAATTCGTGCGTTGTTGGGTCCCGTGGTTTGGACACAGTCGATCCCACCCCCGCTCCATGTGTGCGCGTGCGTACCGAACGGGTTCACGTGACCCTTATCCAGGCGCTAGAGGCCGCTACTATTCACCCCGACGTTTAACACAAGCGCAAATCAATTCTGGAATCCAATTGCAACTCATAGCCGCAAAGCAGATTGATGTATTTGCAGATGTATTATTTTTGCATTGAACACATACGCATATAACGGCCCTCTTTTGTCAAGTCACTGCCGGGATGTACGGCCTGCCCGTGCTGCGTTGCCGCGCGGTGTTATTCTGACCGCACTTCACCGCGCAGGTGAAGTGCGGGTCAGCGACAATCGGGGATGCACAGACGCGGGAGCGTTGGAGTGCGGTACAGCAAATCGGATGTTGGTGGCACTGCCCTCTGCTGCCTTCCAACCGTGCACGCGCGCATGGCGATGCACGGTGGGCCAAGGGGTTGGCACTGGTGAGTGGGTGTCCTCTCGAAGGGTTTTCTCCGGGCTCTCCGGGTTTTACTCCAGAATGTCGATTAAATAAATAAATAGATAAGCGACGCCTCCACAAAAACGCGTTTGGACATAATTACTTTGTTTCACTCCATCGGGCTATTTGCTCTGCAGATCGATATTACCCAGCAGCATTTGTTTAAGCAGCCAAACTCCGATCGGGTTTCGACATTCACAATCTCATCAGCAGAGCCAGACCTGTTCGATAAATGCTGATGGGTTGCCAGATGTTACGGGCGAAAGCACTCCGATGACAAAAACAAGCATGGTCCTAACAGTAACAAATCAGTGGAAATGGCCAAACTTCTCCAACGCAGGACCTTCTTGAAATCCAGTGATGGGACTCCCCGATGCTTCCCCGGGTGAATAAATAAATATCGCAAATAACGTTCATCAGCAGCAACAGCCGTGCTCAACCCACTGCTGAAGGAATGCGTCCCCAAGCCGTCACGTCTCATGTTATTAATAGCATCATCATCATCAGCATCATAGTCTACGTCAATACATTGTACGCCCCCCAACGACAGTCACGTCGTGGCCACCGGGGAGACGGAGCGATGAAATCAGTTCGTGCGCACGTGCTGCCAGCTGCTTTATTACATCGCAGACTCGTGGTAGGCGACTGTGGCTCGAGGAAGACCTTCTTCATCCGGCAGTGGATTGGGCATGGCTGACGACGGCGACGATGACGGCCACGTTTAAACAAATTATAAAGTAGTCTTAATAGCTGCGGTATATTTGGAGGAATGAACAGACTCGCGCGTGGTTGCATGGGCATCGCGAGCGTGCGCCACAGTCCGGCGTGCTCTGCCTACTTCGGGATCCGTGCTGTTCTGAAGCACAGGCATCGTCGCCGCTATGGCAAATTAATCATTTAAGCAGCAGCAAGAGGAGGAGGTGGAGGAGGAGGAGGAGGAGGTGGAGGAGGTGGAGGAGGAGGAGGCGTACAGCGCGGAGGTGCCGGCTCAGTCCAATTCAGTATGACGAGAGGCACAGTCGCCTAAGGGTTTCTCCCACGCTCTCTCTCTCTCTCCCGTCTCTCTCTCTCTCTCGCGCGCGCGCTCTCCCCTTTCTCTCTCTCTCTGTCGACAATTCACAATCAGGAGGGAGAGAGAGAGAGAGAGAGACAGCAAGAGCGCACTGCTGTGCACCAGCGCTCCCACGCCCCTTCCTCGTGACTCTCCCGCTCGTCCGTCGGTTCGTTCATCCACCCCCTGGCATCCGAAAGTCGGCAAGCGACGGACGGCACGGACTGAAGGACCGAGAGGGGTTTCGCGTTCTCGAAGTGGAAGGAGGCGCGATTGTGCAGGTGCGGTGACTTTTCGTGAATTACCGCCTCGTTCGCACCGATTGCCGCTCCGCGTTATAGCAGCGGGTACGAGCGAGCGAGTGAGCGAGCGAGTGCTGAGGGTGTCTCGCGCTCTGCGTTCGGACTTGTGTTGCGGTGGCGGAGCTTTTTGCGCACTGGACGTTGCTCTCAGAATGAATCTGGCTGCTGCTGCTGCTGCCCACCACCATCACCGCCGCCACCAGCAGCACCACCACCATCCGAGCACGCTTCTGTAAACTGAACACAAAACCGTATCAGTGCTGTGCTGCGCGTGTGTGTGCGCGTGTCTACGTAATGCGTCGCGTTAATGATCGTGGTAATGAAGCGGTGTCGCAGTGGTTTCGTGCCGGTGTGCGCTTTGAACACGGCGAGCTGAGTTCGATTCCCGGCCACGGGCCGATAATGACCAGCGGCGAGTGAAATCTCCTTAAACTGGGGACTGGTCAAACCCCGGGTCCTCATCACCAACGCGCACTGACCAGCGTGGTGAAGTATGGTCGTATAACACCCAATGACTAACCCTGGCGACCGCGAGCCTTCACAGCAACGAATTGACGTAATCATTCTCTCTATCATAATATTACAATTAAATACTGGGTCACTCATCCAAGGTAGGGAGGAAGGGAAGGTGAGGCCGTTATCCAGCAGTGGATGATGGACACAAACGGGACCGTACATTATCGTTATGATAATAAAAACAACACTCACCGTCACCTTCATCATCGTCATCATCATCATCTCCTGAACGTGATCACGGCGTTGCATCGCAGCGATTCGCGCTCACGCCGCTCGCTGTACCGACGTTGTCTTGCGCGCTCGGCGAGCGATTTGCCTCCTGCGCTGTCCGATGGACGAGGAGACCCACTTGTAAGATAGCCCACAGAGCTCCCTGAGCTGTGGGCTCACGGAGACGCCAGTGCAACACAGGACTCGTCACTCGAGGTTGACTACGCGGCCGACTTCGTGGTGTTACGATGCAAGGGATAGGCAAGGGGGTTTAGCACATCTGCATTGCGAGCTCAGGAGGTTGATTGCTTTCACCATGTGTGTGTGTCTGTGTTTGTGGGGGGTGAGCGGTAGTGTAGTGGTCAGCGCGCTGCGCTACGGGCCAGGAAGTCACGAGTGCGATTCCCGCTCACGGCACAACATCAATGAAGATTATCTGAACCGGTTCTGGGCCTCCCTTAGGTCGACTCAGCCTCATATGAGTATCTGGTGCGATGTATAAACATCGCCACTGGGGATACAAAGGCGGCCAAGCGTGGTGCTGGCCAACCACCCCTCGTGTACCGTGCTGGCTTTGATAGGTGCTCGCTAATAACACTTGCCCCAACAGTCTGTTAAGGGCTATACGGGGGATCTTTGTCTTGGTTGCATGCATTCCTGTTTGATGCTGGATTGGTGATCGGTTAGGGCTTTTTTTTTGCTTACAAACCCAACCAGCGACCCGATTTCAATTCCAGCTCACGGCCAACATCAGCTGTGAATACTATATCTTCACCGGCCTCCAGTAGGAGCAAATCAGCCTCACACGTGAGTATGGTATGCGGTGTGTAAAACATTCGCGCTGGAGAGACGGAGACGAACTGGTTGTGGTGATTGCCGTACGAGCGAGCCCCTGGTGGTGCCGTGCCGGGCTTAATTGGCGCTTTGCTCTAACGGGACTTGCCCCGAACAGCCTGGCGAGGCTATAACGAGGGAATCTTTGTCTTTGGCGTGTTTCAGCCGTGGGAGCCACTTATCGACGTCCACACCACTGACTGCAGCGCCGGTAGCTAATATAAAATATCACAGCCACGTGTCGCTTCGGTGGGAGCAGCAGGGGATCTCGGCCAGCCTGAGTTCCATTCCAAACCACTGCCCGCCTCTCCCCTATTCGCCAAAACGACGCTCGTCAGCGTGGTGAAGTATGGTCAAGCATCCCCCGTTACTGACACGGCGTTCGCTCAGCAGTGGATGGATTGACGTATGAACAGTATCGGTGTCCGTACACCTCCGTTTGGGCACGGTTGGCCACGTACGGTGCGAAAAAAAAAATTCCCGTGTACACGCGTACGCGACGCGTTCATTATTTATTCAGGCTTGCTTAAAATTGTAGAACATTTGGACAGCGCGACGAGAAAGTCAAAGGATCGGGTTGGCTTTACTGAATGTCGTCAATTGGACGGGAAGAAACTGACTCCTCGAACGCATATCTGGACACCGAGATCGAGAAGCAGGAACGTAGGATGATGTCCCAGCCTCTGACACGACTGTGCATCGCTTGAACCCCCCAGTTCGACCAGCGGCAGCGGCTAGCCGCAGCCTCTGGCACGGACGCCCAGAGCGACATTGTACAACACAGCTCATTCTTCCACTGCTGGATGAGGGATCCCCCCCCCCCTCCCCCCTCCCCCACACGCGCATTCCGGGATTCTATTTTGACCGGACTGTTACGGGTTACGGCGGTACGATGGAGGCTTTGCGACAGTGCCCCCTGTTGCTCGCAACACCTGCTGCACCTATCTCTTAAGGCATGTTGGTCAGTCCCCCCCCCTCCACCACCTCCGCCTCCCCAAGTCATCCAGCCAACGTCAAAGACTCCTCAGTCCCCGTCCGGTTTGGTTTATCGCTTTCAAGATCCGACGAGATCGGAGGTGCTTTGGTCACGGGCTGGCGACGTGTCTCTGTGTGCGTGTCTGTGTGTGTGTGTATGTGTGTCTGTAGTGGTTAGCGCGCTGCGCTATGAACCTGGCGACCCGGGTTCGATTCCCGCTCACGGCCAACACCAGTGACGATTATCTGAACCGGTCCCGGGCCTCCCCTAGGTCGACTCAGCTTCAAATGAGTACCTGGTACGGTGTGTAAACATCGCGACTGGGGAGACAAAGGCGGTCGGGTGTGGTGCTGGCCACCCACCCCCTCGTGTACCGTTCCGGCCTTCATAGGTGCTCGCTAACAGCACTTGCCCCTACAATCTGTTAAGGCTATACGGGGGATCTTTGTCTTTGTACGCGAGGAGCGGTGGTGCAGTACTGTCACATTCAGAGGTGCCACTCGCTAACAGCGCTCGCCCCAAATATTCTGTTGAGGCTTCCCCGGGGGCTGCGTTGTCTTTGTTGCGGCCAGCGCGCTACGCTGTGGAACCCCGGCGACCCCCAGTTCTGTTCCCGTTCACCTCCAACAGCATCCACGTCGATTCAGCCTCAAATGAGTACCTGGTGCGATCGGAAAACATCGCCACGGGGAAGACAAAGGCGGTCGGGCGCGGTGCCTAGCGTGGTGCTGACCACACCACTGTACAGGCCTTCGTAGGTGTTCGCTAACAGCACTTGCCCCAACAGCTTGTCAAAGGCTATCAGGGGGTTCTTTGTATTTTGTGACGTGTGCGATGCTCACGGCGTGTACCGGAGCTGGTTATTATCGGCGTCTGTGTGCAGCAAAAGTTGTGCGTCGGTGCGAGATGCCTTAGCGGTCACCAATATTTAATGATAGTCCACCTTTACATAAATCGATATACCCCCTTTGGGCCAATCGATATGGCCATTTAGTCTAATAAATGACCAACTTGGCAGGCGCTGACGCGCACCTAATAAGGCGTGCATTCGGGCGGACAACCGAGTGACGCTGTGACGCACCTTAGTTCACGTGACCACACACCCTTTCATACAAACAGGTGCCAATTATTCCATGAGGATGACGATGCCTGCGTTGGCAGTGATGCACAACAACAGCAACAACATTCAGCACGTTCGTCAACAATACTGCATGGGGAACAATAACGCATTTATCGGGAGGCGTTTCGGGCGATGGTTCTTCTTCGCAGCACAAACTCCGTGGCCTCTCCGTGTGCTGTAAATAAAGGCCATTGCGCGAAACGTCGCCGATCATATACTCTCCAATTTTAAGGCAGCAGTGTTATTGACACATATGCTGAGTTTACATATATACACATTGTATATACTGTAAGTGTTGATCGCCGACCACGGCTAACATCAGTAACGAATGATATCGGAACCTAATGGTTCAACCCGCATTCCCAAGCCGCAGTGACCAGGGTGGTGAAGTATGGCCAAACATTTGACCCCTCCCCCCCATTACCTCGCAATCCACAGCTCGACACACGCAAGCCAGGAGCGACATTTCGTCGAGCAGTTACTTGACAAAGGGTAGTTTAGTGGTAGTTGCGTTGCGATGGAGTTTGATTCCTTGCGAGAGGTACTTTCGCCCCGTCTGTGTGTATTCGTGTCGAGGGAGGTGACGCGCACTGGACGGCGTCGAAGAGGCAACGAGGGTGCACTGCTAACGTCGCATGAACGTCGTCTCAGGACGTTCATGCGCGTGTGTCCGCTGGCTTCACGGTTCGCGTCCGTGCGAAATGAATAAGTGACACCAACGCAAAGATCCCCGGGGTAGCCTTTTCCTGGGATGTTGGGGCCAAATGCTGTGCCAGCGGGCACCTGTCAAGCCGGGCAACGTCGCACGAGTGGTCAGAACCGCGCCCGACCGCCTTTGTCTCTCCAGTGGCGATGTTTACGCAACGCACGCGGGTATTGATTTGAGGGCAAGTCGACCTCGCTGTTTTTTTTTTTTAATCAACCCACATCACCAATCCGCACTGACCACAGCAGTGAAGTATGGTCAAACAACCTTACGTTACGAGTGTGTGGAAAGAGCACTTCATCCAGCAGTGGAGTGACACAAGCAGGCCCATTTCATTCTGTTTTAGTGTGCGTAGTGTATGCGACTTTGATGTGTACATATCAAAGTCGCGCGCAATGCATATCAATGTACTTCCCGCGTGATTGTGTTTCCATACTCAGTGTTCCACGATTGCGTCTGATGATTTCATTTTAAAATACCCGATAGACTAGCTAGATTGTATTCCAGTGCTATTTTATTATTGTATCTGCTCTCATAACCCAAGTCTTCGTATACACTTGGTTGAGTTAAAGGGTATTAATGTTTGCACATATTATGTTTCACTATGTTTGGGCACATTTCGATCTCTCTTCTTAATAAACGTGGTGCCTATCCTTGCAGTTTCATTCCAGACCTTTCTAGCTAATGAGAAACGACGCTTGCGAAGTGAGTTTGCAGGTGGTTATAACCGAAATACTGTGGGCGTTAATATACTGGGTGGCCCAAAAGTCAGGACAAAATAGGGTTATTATATTTATCTTAACAAATGTTCAAACTGACTCCCATTAACATTCATGAATGCTGCATGAATTCTCATTTGAAATGAATTCAGGACTTTTGTGTAGGGATATTACAGCCGCGTAATCTTTGACCATTCGTCCATTGTGTTGCGTCTAAATCCATTCAGGGTTCTTGGTCGAGTTTTATAAGCGTCAGATATTAAGTGACCCCCACAGCAAAAATAGATTGTAATCATGATGATAATAGATAAAATGTTAACTTTTTGAAGAAACAATTAAAATAAGTAATTGCCAGTGTTGAAAGAAATGAAGTAACCGTATGTGTCCTGACTTTTTGGCCACCCCTGTATTTATGTATGCGCCGCGGTGGCGAGATGTTAACTACCTCGCCAGGTGTGCAGGGGGTCCGTGGGTTCGATCCGGACTCTGACACCAGCTGTATATGTGGAGTTGGCATGTGCTCCCTGTGGGCTCCGGTTTTCCCCTCCACATTTAGAAGCGTGCCTTTAGAGTATTTGGTCTCATGTGCATTTCCACGTGACAAGCCACTTGGTTGGGGCTATCATTTGTGACTAAGTCGCTTCTGATAAAGTGCAATATTGCTAAGATAGGGCCTTACCTAGTAAAATAAAAATAGTGGTAAAAAAAACCTCTCCGTTATATTTGTGTGTGTGAGAGAGAGATGGAAAGCAACGCATTTACACGATTGAGAAAAAAATGATTGGGGGTGAGATTGTGAGCTGGGTGCATTTCCCTTGCACTCAGACGCGAGCGCAGATCCAATCCACGTTTGGAGGAGGGTGCGCTTCTCCCACCACCACCACCACCACCGCAGCCAACGTGCTCAACCTCGTCACTTCATCTGCATATCTCCGGAGGATATGCCGAACGCATCAGAAGCCACCACGCTCCGAGCCAATGACAACAGCCAGCCTGACCTTCTCCAGAACATTCTGAACCCACGCGGCGACACCACCACCACCACCTCCTCTTCCTCCTCCACCGTCGCTCTCTAAGGAATGCGCCAGCCAACGAGAAGGGTTCCCTCAAGCCTCTCAGGTTCTGGATAAAGTAAACCCCTGCTGCTCCTGCTGCCAGCCTCTCCACGCTCTTTGCAGCAGCAGCAGCACGCATCCTCCCTCGCCTTCTGCAAGGATGCACGTCGCGCCCAGCCGATGCAGCAGGACGAGCCCCTGGCTCTCCTCCCACTGCGCGAGGTCTCCGCTGCTGGGCGCAAGACTCGCCGCGACTCCAATGACGACGCCGCCGCCACCGATGCCGCCGCTGCTCCTCCTCCTCTTCCTTCTCCTGCTCCCTCCTTTACCTGTGAGCGTGGCTCAAGACCGAGCCACGCACTCGCACTCGATCCGCATCGAAGGCGACATCACCCTGGGCGGCCTCTTCCCCGTGCACTCGAAGGGCCCCGCCGGAGTGGCGTGCGGCGAGATCAAGAAGGAGAAGGGCATCCACCGCATGGAGGCGATGCTCTACGCCCTCGACAAGATCAACAGCGACCCCGACCTGCTGCCCAACATCACGCTCGGCGCGAGGATCCTGGACACGTGCTCGCGGGACACGTACGCGCTGGAGCAGTCGCTCACGTTCGTGCAGGCGCTCATCGAGAAGGACACGTCGGACGTGCGCTGTCAAAACGGGGAGGCTCCCGTGTTCACCAAACCCGAGAGGATCGTCGGAGTCATCGGCGCCTCGGGCAGCTCCGTGTCCATCATGGTGGCCAACATCCTGCGTCTCTTCCAGGTGAGTGGCCACCTGCCGTCGGTGGTTGCTGTTGTTGCTGTTGTTGTTTTAATGTGTGTGTGTCTGTTGAGTTGAGACGTGCGCGTGCTTACATTGTGAGTAGGTACATATTGCGGGTTATATACATAGGCTGTTTGTGTGTGAGTGGGTTCATAGAGAGGTGTGTGTGTGTGTGAGTAGCTGCATACGGAGGAATGCACATAGACTGCGTGTGACTCGGTGCATATACAGGCATGCACATAGACTGTATGTGAGTGGGTGCATTTACAGGCATGCACACAGACTGTGTGTATGAGTGCTTGCATTTCCAGGTATCTTAAAATAAAAGTTTACCCAGGTAGGGTAGACGTCGGATTTAAAGATGAGACCTGACTGTGACATTAACCATTACCGAGGGCATCATCCAGAAATATACTCACCACTCTACACACAAGGGTAAATATTCCCCGCATAGCCTTGAACAGACTATTGGGGGCAGTGTTGTTAGCGAGCACCTATTAAGATCAGTACGGCACACTAGGGGGTGGCCTGCACCACACCCAGCAGGTTTTGTCTTCACAATGATAATGTTTTACACACCGTAGCAGGTACTCATTTAAGGCTGAGCCGACCTAGGGAAGGCACAGCACTCGGTTTAGATTATATTATTATCACCACTTGCGTTGACCGTGAGCGGGAATTGAACCTGGATCATCGGGTTCACAGTGCATTGAGCAAACCACTACACTGCCACTATCTAAAGAGAACGCCCCCCGTATAGCCTTAACAGACTGTAGGGGCAAGTGCTGTTAGCGAGCACCTATAAAGGCCGGAAAGGTACACGAGGGGGTGGGTGGCCAGCACCACGCTCGACCGCCTTTGTTTCCCAGTGGCGATGTTTACACACACCGCACCAGGTACTTATTTGAGGCTGAGTCGACCTAGGGGAGGCCCAGGACTGTTTCAGATAATCGTCACTGGGTGTTGGCCGTGAGCGGGAATCGAACCTGGGTCGCTGGGTTCATAGCACAGTGCGCTAACCGCTACACTACCGCTCCACACACACACACATACACACGCGTGTTAATAGTGGCTGACCTGAATTTAACCAACGAGGCTACAAATCAAAGGCAACTAAGGCACGAAAGTGACAATTATGCTGCTGCTTTTACAGCTGATAATGATAATGTTGAGGCTGATGATGATGATGATGCTTGCGCTGTATATTGCATATACTCATGTATAGCTTTGTCAATCCACTTCTGGGTGAAGGCATCCTCATGCTGTGTTAGCCATTTGGGTTTGATATTTTACAACACTGCTCATCATCATAATGATCACCATAATTATCGTCAACAGCGCCACCATCACCATCATTTTCATCGTCACCACCATCATCACCACCACAAACATCACTATCATCACCACCGTCATCAAAATCACCACCATCCTCATCATTATTCTCACACAGATGTCCCTTAAATTGGGGGATGCAGCTGGAAGTCACTGGGTGGCAGCGGAGGCACCGGACTGGCCATGGGGCAGCAGTCCATGATGGTGCTGGTCCATTCTGAGGGCCAGTGGGCACGGTTTGTGTGACATAATTGTGAATGTGATCAGTTTAAAATATATATTAACATAATAGAGAAAACATATTTATATAAAACAATCAATAAAATATATTAACATTCTTGGTTCTTTCGGTAAAGTCACGTATAAGGGAAACAATAAAATAATTTTAAAAATATATAAAACACCTGATGATGATTGCTTGTGTTGCAGTCGAAACGTCGCGAGAATTTTATTGTTTTATATTTTTATTATTTTATTTTTTTGACTTTACCGAAAGAACCAAGAATATGAATCCCTGCAGTCACGAAAGCTTTAAATAAAAAAAATATATTAATGTATGTTCTATTTAATATTTAACTACCTCTAATGTCTTAGCTTCGTTGCTTATTTTAGCTCTCAGCTGGAATGAAGTTCCCTATATTCGGGCAGCCCCAAAGATCCTTCCTCACCGGCCCCATTCGTTTTTTTTTTGGGGGGGAGCCAGCACAGGAATAGGGCCAATGAGATCGGCACGGCAATTTGTGCCCGGCTGTGCGTTTAACACAAGGCCTGGGCCCGTTTCTAGTCCCAGTCCATCACTGGTGCCGGCTTGTGTGGAACAGTTAGGACGCAGGAGTTCCTCCAAGTAGAATTTCCCTGACAGAATCGATGATGGACTCATGCAAGTCTGCACAACGTTGACCCCTGGGCATCTCCTTAACGTGACATGAAGTCAATCTGTACCACCTCCCAATCTGATATGCTCTTAAATCTAAACTAAACCATATGTTATATTAATAATAGGGGTTTTCCCCTTTTTACGAGGATTCATGTCTGCATTAACCACAACACTTGCAGTCAGAATGCCTTTTTCGTCCTCTGGTCGAGCACCAATTGGGTCGAGGCTCAAAAGAAAGCCGTCCCTTGGTGTGGACCAATCAGTTTCAAGGACAATGCATATATTATCATAGTATGTTTTTTGTTTGCATTTTGACTGCAGGTATTGTGGTTAATGCAGACATGAATCCCTGTAAAAAGGTTTCAGTTTTGTTGCCAGAAAAAAGGGGGAAAAACCCTATTATTACATTTTGGTACTGGCAAAGGTGGTCTAATGATGTAGATGCTCACCCCGAGCCCTCATTACTTTGATAGTGCATTGTCTTTGGAGCTGTACACCTTTTGGCGTCATCTGGTCAAGCACCAATTGGGTCGAGGCCCAAAAGAAAGCCGTCCCTTGGTGTGGACCAATCAGTTTCAAGGACAATGCATATATTATCACAGCATGTTTTTGGTTTCCATTTTGACTGCAGGTATTGTGGTTAATGCAGACATGAATCCTTGTCAAAAAGTTTCAGTTTTGTTGCCAGAAAAAAGGGGACAAACCCTATTATTACATTTTGGTACTGGCAAAGGAGGTCTAATGATAAACAATATTTTGTTATTTTACTAGGCGCGATGTTAACTACCTCGCCTGGTATCGAGGAGGTCGTTGGTTCGATCCTGACCCTGACGCCGGTATATTTGAAGTTTACATGTTCTCCCCATGGTCGTGTGGATTTTTCTCTGGAGTCCTCCGGTTTGTCCCACCACATCAACATGCGTTTAGAATATTTGGCTCCTACAGTTAACATTTCCACATTACGATGATAAGCCACTTCGTTGGGCTTTCATTAGTCGCCAGGTCACTTCTGAAAAAGGAGCTATATAGAGCTCTTTGGGCCTTACCTCGTGAAAATAAAAAAACCTCTATTATGAATGGTAATAATGTTAAACCCAGGTCTCATCACAGGTAATAAAGCACCTCTTACACACGTCGCAAATCTGCGCGCATGAGGTCAAGAGCTGTCACGGGAAAGTTCTTTGGACAGTCGCTCTTGATGTTGCACGTCAGTTGTCTGGTGACCCAACGTGCACACACACACACATACCCCTTGTCCATTCCCCGACAGATTATTTACACTCATCCCACACCGATGGCCACGGTGTCAGCTCACCGTGCAACAGTAGCGCGGCGATATTCCACAAAGCCACCTCTCTCTCGCAGCCTCCTCCGCACGTTGCACCATCCATCGCAGTTACAGCCCAATTGGGTCCGGGGTCATCTGCAAGGGTCCCCCTTGCAAGGACAAAATGCTGCTTGGTAACCGGTCGCGTATGAGAATTCAATTTTTACCCCCGCGATCTCAACATTTGGTTCGTGGATTTCCTAATGGTCCCCTGATCATTAGCGACAATGATTCCGTGGCAGCACAATGCTTGAATTCCAAATAATCAGTGTCCGTAGTTGTCTACCTGCTCTAGGCAGAGTGTTAAATAAGGACCTACGCAATAGAGGATGCTGATCCCTGGCTCTTTGACTATTACTCAACGTGAGCTGGAACATGAATGGTCTCCGTGGTATTGCGCGTTCTATAAGGCTCAGCAATGTTAGTGCACCCCTTGTACATGTTTGCATTCCTGTACTTAACCAAGCGGTCGTCCGTTGAGATTAAATGTCGGGTTCTTTGAGATGATGATTATGATGATGATGTTGACAATTACGGTTGATAATGATGATGATGATTAATTTAGTCAAGTGTTTCACTGATCAAACTTAAACTCAAAGTTAACTATCATTACTCTTTAGGTTCTTTCGGTAAAGGCACGTACGTAGGTAGAAATAACATAAATTAAATCACGACGTTTCGAACGCGAGCAGACATCGTGTTGCTCGCAACAGATGTCGCAGCCGCCGTGATTGTCACCTCTTGTGTTGCGCCCGAAACGTCGTGATTTATTTTATGTTGTTTCTACCTACGTGCCTTTAACCGAAATAACCTAAAGAGTGTGGATTCCTGCAGTCACGAAAGCTTCAAATCAAGATGATCTATCATTGTCATTTGAAAATAGTCAACAAGATCGTATCCATTTAACTTTTGATATCACTCTTTACCTCCTAAGCAGATTTTTGCAGAAGTGAAATCACTCGTATGTTAATACATCTATATATGACAGATTAAGAACTTGCTAGTGCTACCCTCGTGTGTGCGTTACTGCGCTAAACCAAATAATATACCGATGATATCATTAATGATGATGATGCTGACACAAGTATGATGGCGATGATAGTGGCATTGGACATATACATCGTGAGTGTACTGAATCGAACCAGGCGTTTAACTGCTCACATTATCTTTATTTTACAACTCGGTCTTTTACTGATGACGATGGTGATGACAGTGGTGACGTTTTTGACTGGATTATTCACTGTCAAATCTTGAACGGTGTGACCTGAGCCGCTGACTCTTGCCAATGAATGGTTTTCTCTGGCCACTCAAACGCCGGAGAAAGGGGTGACAATTAGTGACGGGAGGCTACGGCTGTAAGACTCTTCCCTTTTTTGCTGGCACTTGGCAAATGTGTAATTGCTGTCAGATGGAAGTGGTGATAACATTTGAGTCATTTGTCATCTCTACTTTTACCCAGTGTGA